CGAGCCGGGGCTGACAGGCTGCAGAAGGCAGGCAGAGGGCTCCCTCTCCCCGCCGCACGCCGCCGGCAGCGCACTGCCCATCGCCGCCGGGCGGGCCGGCAGCCGCGGCCGCTCTGCCCCCGGCCAGGAGCGCAGCGGGTCCATCCACGCTTCTCCCGGGCTCCCCGCCCAAGCCCCAGCACCGGGGAGCTGCGAGCCCCTACACAGGGCAAGCGCCGGCTTGTGCGAGAAGCAGCTGTGAAGCGAGGGTGGCTCCTAGAACCAGGCAGGAGCGGGTCCCCAGCCCTCCCTCCGCAGGGATGTGCCCCCCCGTGCCAGCGCCAGCCGGGACATGTGCGTCAGGCACATGTACACATACACCCTCCGCAGAGAAAGGTGGCTGGCAGCCAGGCAAGTGCGGGAGCAAACCTCTCCGTGCTTACGCAGGTCTCAGTGCTCACCGAGCCTCTGCCCCCGCTGCCATGCGGGGCTCGGGGATGCCACCTTTCCACAAATGCCACCAAGTCAGTTTGCAGGCAGCAGCGCATCGAGTCCTCGCTGGTGTGAACTGGTTTGGGTTTGGCAGGTAAACACGACTCCACAATTCTCCTTTATCTTTGGACTGACAGTAATAAACACGAGATGGAGCTCGTTCAGGTAAGGACCTCCCGGTCCAGTGTCGACACCTGCTGGTTCCCCTCCTGTGATGAGCTGCCAGGCGTGCAGGCAGAGCATGGTGAGTCAGGCCTGGAGCAGCCATCAGCCTGGATACCCAAATCAACAGTCAGAGAGAGATGCAAATGGCAACCTCTATTCTGCTATGGGGTGTGTAATCCTCCAGCAAAAGCCAGCTAAGCTGTAGCATCACAACCCTGCTTCCCAGGCACTCCGTGGGCCAGGACACAGAGTCACGCTGCCAGCAAGTAGCAACTCTCACCTCCCTTCCCAGATATGTACTGGCATCCTGTGTGACCTTACCAAAGCCCTTTCATCTCTGTTTTACCATCCAACGCTGTCTTATGGGGAGATGGCTTCTCAGAGGAGGAACTGGGCAGCCTTGCTTAGAGCCACCAGGTTCTGGGACCTTGGCACTGTGGGTGTCCTGCGACAGGTACAACTGCAGCACTGCCCAGCTATGGCTGGCAAACCCAGGGGGAGAGCTGGACACTGATGGAGCTGCCTCTTCCCTCCTCTCCATCCCCTCATCCGTGTGCAGGGTGGACAGTGAAGAGCGCCTGGCTCTGCAGACAGACCATGGCGGTGCGCAGTCCTGCTCGGGGGAGGAGGGGCAGGCACAGATGGCAGCAGATGCTCTCATCAGTGAAAATGATTGAAGCAAAACAAAAAAAAAAACCCTAGCAACTGGTGAGCAGCCTAACAAAAAACAGCACAAGGGTACAGAGAAAGGGTCTGCACCTGACAGGTCCTGCCTTCTGGCCCAGGATAATGTTTTTCCCATCTCCAATTCACATACAAAGAAGAAAGATCATGCCTCGTCCCAGAGCACTGGGCAGTGATTATTTTTTAAGACTTGGATATATTGAAATGAAATAGTTTGGTTTCTCTTCCATTCCCCTGTCCCTATCGTCTCTCTTTTCCTTTTCCCTCTGCCTTCAGAGAAGTGAGTGTGACCCCAGACAGCTTCTAGGCACATCTAAGCCCCTCACCTACCCTCTCTACCCATGGCA